TCATAGCATTAAATACAAACGCAGCTAAACACTGTAGACGTACATCATTTTGAGTTTTGGGTAATTCGATAAATTTATTTACAGTTGGTAGGGTACATTAATAGTGTGGGATATAGAGACATCTAATGTGATTATAAAAATTACAAAATGGATCTCGTTTTCAATAGAATTCATATTGCAAAACTCGCACGTACGTCTAGATGACCTCTGTCTTTTTTTTAATTCGTAAACAATGTGATGAACATCGTAGCCGAGATAGTGATTGCATATGGGTTCGAATATGAACAGAAAACAAATATCTTTCTGGTTCTATGGTACTTTTAATTTGGCAGTAAGTATCTAACTTGTCTAAAGTACACAAGTCAGCCCGCCATACCAAATAAAGATACTGTTTGAATCATTCTACATATGTATTTATAAACACATTAACATTTCCAACTTCTTGTGCATGCCAAGCATCATTCATATTACAAATTGAAAGTAAGTTTTGGAAGTCACTGATCCAGGTGTGTTTTGTTCTGGTTCCCGAATTTTCGATATTGTATGGCATATTGTAACATTTCTTGGGGTACCTTGAATTTGGCATGGAAATTAATTTTGCCCAATATTTAATGCAACGTTTCGCTGAGTACAGATAGATAGAATATCTCTCACATTCTCCTAGAATACTACTATTTGGTGATCTGTTTGAAACACCAAGAAACATTCTACAGGCAAGATATTGGACTCGTTCTAGATATTTATACCCCCTAAAACCCCTAATTTCCGCCCCATCGTTAGTATTGGTAATATCATTGTATTAAAGTAGTTATGATAACCACATAAACAAATTGGATAATTGGGTGGTATGTATAGTAAAATGATGTCATTTTTTAAGCAGAATTCTACTTGGCTCGCATTGTTTTGGTAATTAGAGTTTGGTCAGTGAATGTTATGTTAGAGTTCTGCAAATTCAACAGTTTAAGCCAAGACCAAAAAAAGAAAAACGAATCACTCTGAGTGTAGATACATAATCGGACTGTTCCGACAATATAAATATGTTTGCAAATGATTGAATTCATAATAGTAATCACCAATCACGTCACCGATGCACCATACACTATACATTGGTACATTGGTAGGCCAAAACGCTAACATATTCATAGATACATTCCCTGCGTTAGTATAGTTGTTGCCGTTTAAATGCTGTGATACGAATATAGGATATAAACACGGGATCAAATATGTATTGTCTTATTAATCTACAGTTGTTATTTGCACCAAGACTCGTAA